ATTTTGCTCTTTAATATATGTAGATAATTTCCTGCCCTCTTAAAATGAGACTTAGTATGCCCCCAAATCAGAGCATTTGCTCAAAAAATCGTCCATAGTGCAAACTAAATGCCACATGAAGTGTCTCCATGAAACAGTTGAAGTCCAAGGGTCTTGAATTCTGTTCCTCAAGCAATATGTGATATGGAAATGATGTAGACAATTGCATTCTCCGAAGCTTCTACAGTTTTGCAAGAACTCTGGTGGGCAGTGATTGGCCACTCCCCACAAGGGGAGTGACCAATCGAATCAGATCACAGACATGTCCGTCCTTTCAGTACCAGGGACATAGGCAGGAAGTATTTTTGGGTGGTTTCTTGTGTGGCTCAGGCTCAGGCTAATGAGTTGAAGTGGCCAAGGAAGGTGAGTGATTGGGTGGAATGAATAAAACTTTAAAAGCCCTTTTTGAGACTTCAACCCCACCCACCTCATAGTTCTTCTCAAAATTGCAGATTTCTTTTGCATGAAAATAGATATGGGCCAATGACTGACCTTGAATTAGTCATAATTTAGTGGGTGAAAGCTATTCCTGAATGTTTGCTACTAAAAAACCTGATGTAGCTAAGGAAGCAAAATGGGGGGGGGCACTATATCGGTCAAGAGTGATTGTATTCAAAAGGTGGAATAGTAGTGTAGTGCAGTGTTATATAAATAACAAAGGGAGTTAACTGCCATCTATTCCGTTAGGTAGGTACTGCAGATTAGTGTAAAGGAATACAGAGCGCGGCAAGGTGGTGTTACATGCAAGGACCTAGATAAACATTATCTTTCATTATCTTTGACTTTCTAGTTTCTCGTGTTCACAAATTTGGCATACAAGAGGAATGCAACCCTCATGTAGGTCTGTAGTCTACAGAAATAAGTGGAATTTTTTCATATACTCTACATATCAAAATCAGATACTACATATCTAATATATGTACTACCTCAAGATTTCTCTATTTTATTGATTGCCAGTGTCCTAAAGGAGTATATGAGCATGAATATGGGAAAAAGTATTTGGGCACTTATACCCCTTTTCTAGTTAACTCATGATGAAAGACTTCACAAGAAGATGACGGTGACCTTGGACAGGTGATAAGTGCTGTACAGTTGTTCATATTGAGTATCTCATGAGGACTTCATATGGGAGGAAAAACCAGACAGATGACATAACCTAAATGCATGAGCCTCCCCAATGGTGACAGGAGACAAATTTTCTTAATAAAAAAAAAATTCCAAATAGATCTGGAAGCCCCCAGTGTCGCACTCAGCTCTGAGTTATGATATTAGATCCCCTTGAGAAAATTTAGGAACTGTCTATGCCAGAGGTCATTGATAGAATGCATATAGTACAAAATAAAAATACTAATAAAAATAAGTTCCTTAAATTAGCATCCAGTTCAACTTTAACAGTTTGTTACCAAAGGCATTAAAGGTCATCAGCTACACTCTTATTCTTATGAAGCTATCAAGTAGGCTTACCAGAGTAAAGTAGTCATTATCAAGAACTCTTTCATCAGTGGTGTATTTTACGGGAGGTGGGGGGGGGGGCGGCAGCCGCCCCCCCTGGCACAGAGCCTGGCGCACTTGGAGGTAATAACTTTATCCGCTGATATGGCTCAGGTGGGGTTTGGCTTCTCCACTCTGTTGCCCTGCCCCTCCCCCTGACTTTAGGCCAAAATACACCACTGTCTTTCATTCGTGCAGAGAGAAAAAGTTAAAGAATTTGAGTTTTAGCTACCTTTTGCTTTCGGATAATTCCATTTCAAATCAGGCAGCGTCACGGTTTTTGCATCAGGTCATAGTCTTGGATTTTTTTCAAAAAAATGTATGTGATCCCCCTTTCAAATGATGGAAAATGGTATCTTATTTACCTATGTATCTGCAATAGTGTCGGAGAAAAAAATTCACAAGTGCAGGGCTCTAAAAAGGACGACTAGTGAAATTCCTGTTTTCTCCCACTTTCACTTTGCTTTATCTTCCAAAGTCATAGGCATAGATTCCTGAATTTTTTCTCGCATACTTGAATGTACATCTTGTGGAAGCATTTGAGAAAAACCTAAGTTATAATTTCATAAATACGTAATTTTGAATTTTAAAAGTGACGAAACTGCCGAATTTGCTGGTTTTTGCTGAATTTTTTTGCCAGTTAAATTTGTATCCCATCTTGAATTAAGTATATTTTCATGAACTACAAACATTCGTGCATCTCTTGTCATTTGGCATTCATATCATTCATGCTTAATTTAATATTAACTTGCAACTTTTGTCAATTTCCGAAAAATAGGTGAAAAAGAAAATTTTTTTCTCAAAAAAACCCATCTTTGATTTTCTTCATTTCTTCCTTGTTGATACTAGAAGGCACCAGTTACAGCGTGGTATAGAAACTTCCTCCTCGATTTGCCTCATTACCAAGTTATTGATTTTTAAACAAGCACATTTTCCGACGACGTTGAGGGAAACAACGGTCACGCAATCGTGACTGATTTTTAGTCGTATGTGTCCAGCATGTGGCCAGCCGTATGTGGAGATGATAAATTCGACAATATCATGTTTACATCTACCCTGATGCAATGGTCAAATTGCGTAACATGTGAAAAATGCACCACCTAGACCACGTGATTCTTCCTTTGTACAGCCGGCTTGGAATCGCGCACACCGTCACCTGCACCCCTGACCTCGCCTCCCGACACGCCCTGTTACGCCCCTCCCACCAATGCCCTAGTAGTCTACTTCAACCTCCCCATAATGATTTCACAGCCAGACGTTTGAGTGTTGTTTGTCCCAACGTCGAGGACCACCGACCAGACGCTATCTCTAACGTGTTGGATCCTTCCGTCGGGGGTTTGGCTGACAGAAACCTGGGCTCCTGAATATTTTCCCATTGCTGCCTCAAGACGCCTGACGTTCAAGTCACAGACTATTACAAGGACCCGCGTTTTCCCTCCCCTCTTCAAAACGGCCTGATTCTTTCCTGCCGACCACACACCTGTTCTCTCCCCTCCTTTCGATCCTTAATCCAAGTCGACCTCCCTCAACCCGTGAAACATGTTTCGATATCATTTACCATCTCCTGCGATAGCTTAGCCTTCACCCCCCTTTACGACCTTTGCCCAATTACTAGCCACCTGGGAGTCGGCACTCGCCGCGTTGCCAAAGGACGAAAGGGTCACCCTCCTAGTAAAGTCCGGAAGGGTGGGGAACCCCCGGAGTGCCTCCTCCACCCTTCTTAGCCTCGGCACTAAATCACCCCTCGGAATCTCACCCACCAACTACCTGATCCCTTTTATCTCCTACTCGACGCTAAAGGGACAGAATCTTTCTTTTTTTGTTGGTGAATGTGACAGTATTTCTTGACATATGCACCTGCTTTAGCAGTATGATGCCAAGACTCTCAGTTTCGATCGCATTCGGTGTGCTGACTATGAGCGACTGCACAAGAAAGTGATTTAGAAGAAGAAACATGGGCATTCAAATTTTAGGTAAGTGAAGGACTTTGCTAGTACGTTGCAACGACTCGGGTTTACTTCTGCTTCAACTTGTGATGAATTGAGTTCCGACTGCTATAAACAACATGAAACATTAGTGAATGCCAAAACAGGACCAGCATCATATGGTGAGAACCCAGGAACTTCAGGAACCAAGAACTCGTGCAGGCGGTAAATGAAAGCGTGTCTGCTTTGGAAGTTGACGTCGTACTGGGCCACGCCATTTCAAACGACCACATCACCATTGCAAGGGATTATTACCTGGACGACAATCTGGACTGTTCGCGGCAGAGCCCCAACAAAAGTGACGTCATTAATGAGTTTGAAATTGGTGAGAAAACCAAGAAAGTGAAGCGATTCATGACTAGGACACTGAAGGAAACATTCAGGATATTCAAGAAAGCTCACCCAGAAATAAAAATTGGCCACTCCAAGTTTTATTCACTGCGTCCAAAGTGTGTCAAGATGCACCCATCGCATGAGGTGTGCATTTGTATTTATTGCAACAACATGGAGCTGTGTTGCACAGCTCTCAGCAATTTTCTAAATAAGACTGTGAACATGAATGATCTCTTCCAATTATGTTTATGTCCTGTTTCTTCTGATGCCTGCTGGCTGCAAGAGTGCCAGGAATGCCAGGGGAGTGACGGAATATCAGTGGAGAGCCTAAATCTGGATGACTGTGACTCGCAGGAGATCCATTATGCAATGTGGGAAAATGGATTTTTGATCAAGAAAACTACGCCCATTGATGCCTTCGCTGAGGAGGTGACGAAGTGGACTCTGAAAATAATATCCCATCAATACATCAGAAACATTCAGCGCCTTGAAGTCAAAGATGTGAAGAGCAAATGTAAAGAAGACAGTTCTGTATTGATTATGCATTTTGATTTTGCGGAAAACTGGACTATCATAATGCAGAATGAAGTGCAGAGCTACCACTGGGTCAGTTCACAACTCAGCATTTTCACATGCGTAGCATATTGGGGCAGCACTGTCGCCAATGTCGCAGTAATCAGTGATGACTTGCTTCATGATACGGCACATGCGCATCTGGCTATGACGAGAGTTGAGTCATATGCAACTACACTTCAAGGATGCATATTTCAATTCATCACATACGTATCAGATGGAGCAGCCAGCCATTTCAAAAATCGTTTTCAGCTTTATGAACTGAAAACAACCAATGACACTGAAAGAAAATGGCTTTTCACAGCAACAGGTCATGGTAAAAGTCCATGCGATGGAATTGGAGGGCTGGTGAAGCACCACGCCACATATTACAACCTAACTCATGATCCAGTCGATTCCATCCAAACTCCTGTGGAACTTCATGCCAAAATGACACCCATCATCAAAAATGTCCATTTTCCGATTTTGCCTTCGGCAACAGTTCAAGATTACCGCAGCAAGAAAAAAGAGGAATGGACCGACGTGCAAGCACCCAAAGGGATCCAGCGCAGCCACTATTGGTCTTCAAAAATGGGACAATTATTCATGGCGAGATCCGTTCGACACGAGATGAAGGAAGTGGTTCTAAAAAAATAAGAAATGACACTGAAGGTTGCATGAATGACAAGCTGTGCGATAGTCCTGAACTTCGTGTGCATAAATATATAATGAGAAGCGGATTAAAGAAGAATGTTTTCTCGTAGTTTGGGCCTCCAGTTTGTTCCCCAGCGTCAAATAACCTATTATGATTAAGATAATCCTCACATGACCATGTACTTTAGTTAAAAAGGTCAAACGTACAAAATATTAAGTGAAAACCACGGTGGTGCATTTTTCTCATGTTACGCAATTTGACCATTGCATCAGGGTAGATGTGAAGATGATATTGCCGAATTTATCATCTCCACATACGGCTGGCCACATGCTGGACACATACGGCTAAAAATCAAATCACGATTGCGCGTCCGTTGTTTCCCTCAACGTCGTCGGAAAATGTGCATGTTTAAAAATCAATAGCTTGGTAATGAGGCAAATCGAGGAGGAAGTTTTTATACCACGCTGTAACTGGTGCCTTCTAGTATCAACAAGGAAGAAATGAGGAAAATCAAAGATGGTTTTTTTGAGAAAAAAAAATTCTTTTTCACCCATTTTTCAGAAATTGACAAAAGTTGCAAATTAATATTAAATTAAGCATTAATGATACGAATGCCAAATGACAACAAGAGATGCACGAATGTATGTAGTTCATGAAAATATACTTGATTCAAGATGGGATACGAATTTAACTGGCAAAAAAATTCAGCAAAAACCAGCAAATTCAGCAGTTTCGTCACTTTAAAAAATTCCAAATTAGGTATTTCTAAAATTATAATTTAGAATTTTCTAAAATGCTTCCACAAGACGTACATTCAAGTATGCGAGAAAAAATTTTCAGGATTCCATGCCTATTACTTTAGGAGATACAGCAAATTGAAAGTGGGAGAAAACAGGAATTTCACAAGTCACCCTTTTTAGAGCCCTGCACTTGTGAATTTTTTCTCCGACACTATTGCAGATATAGAGGTAAATAATATACAATTTTCCATCATTTGAAAGGGGGGATCACATAAATTTTTTTGAAAAAAATCAATGACTATGACCTGACGCAAAAACCGTGACCCTGCCTGATTTGAAATGGAACCACCCAGTAGCGATTTCACTGTTGTGACGAGGAATACCCATCAAATTCACACAAGCTACTTCTTTGCCTACGCAATAGTCAAAACACAAAATAAATGTTATTAATGACCACAGGCATTATTATTTTTGGAATTGAGTTCAATGACCAGTTCTGAACAATGCCTTTTCCCAATGTTTTCGTGCAATAGGGCTGAAATTGAATGGTACACATTATTGTAATTAAAGCTTGGAAGGTGAGTGCGGAATGAACGAAATGATATCGAAAGCAAATAATTTTTAAAATAAATTGGATTCATTTCGCAATATGTTCGATTTATTCTCCTCTCACGGATATTAATTTAATTTGTCCATTCCCATAGTAGTTCAGGTAAATCCATTACGTTGATGAATGTCCGTTGCTGCAACAGCAGACAGATATATCGTTGAATTCAGCAACACATTGGAAATGAAGTTCATGCAAGGCGCGGTTCGCAATGGATACAATCGATAGAGGTCTCCTGGGGCTAGATCGTAGCAGTAGCATGGTGTAGAAAGTATCTCCCACCCCATAATTGAGTGTCTCCACCATCGCATGGGTTATGTAAGACCTAATGTTGATAAGCAGGAGAAATACTGCTCGCGTTAACATAGTCGCCCTTCTCGTCAAAGGAAGATGAAACTAACAAGGTAGCTGCAACACGATGAAGCCTTGTTATTCTATTTTGATGTTGTTGTTTACCTCAAGTTCTCTATTTTTGTAGTGAACTTAGTGTTGGTCAGTTTGAGTGCCTTTCAGTGTAGATGCAATAATTATAATTATCCTTGCCTTTTCATTTTACCCTGTTTTCATTTCTTTGATGAATGAGTATCCCATGAATATGAAAGTGCAAAATATTCGACTACTTTCATTAGTGGTCTTCTCAGGCCATTACTTATGAAATACTTCATGTTTTTAGGTTGTGAGCACTGCTCACATCACCAAGAATTGAATTGAGTTTTTGATTTTAACTTCTTTGAATTTGAGTCTCTGCACTCAAGGTGTGAGGAGAATAAATGAGAATGATTCAACGCTCTCCGCCGCTATGACGTGCACGGGGAATGAAATCGGATGTCTCAGAAAACTCACTAGCGCTGAAGTGCAGAAAGAGAAGGCAGAGCGAAGAGACACCGTTAACCTTAATATTCTCCATGAAATTTATGCTTTTCGTTTGCCTTCCAACCAGTCCAATCTCTTCATTAGCTGCTGCAAGGCATGAATCCGCTTAGCTCTCCACGACACAGGGGTTCCCTTACAGTACTTCGTGTGGTTCTCTTGTTCTCGTGAATAGATAATCCCTATGTCAACAGCTGAGAACGCGGCGCTCATGTTCCTAACTTTTTCCCTATGATAAGAAATCGACCGCGCAACGAGAATGAGTAATGCACCTGAGCGTCTCCAATAATTTACATTTGGCAACTGACTTTTTGGGCCACACGGTATTAAATTTTTTAAATGAAAACTTATGAAATCAGAGGAGATGCAGATGGGAATAAAGTATGTGTAATCGAAAGTGAATAGAGAGAGTTTTAAGTCAACGGGAAAGCTTGACGCCTGTATTGCACAACAATCCTTACAACAAGGGTTAATCTTGGGAATGAACCAAAAGGGTGACTAGAGGGGGAGAGAGAGGAAAATATACCTTCGTTTTTAATAGTAGAGAATATCCGAAAGGGGCCTATTTCTCGTCGGGCGAGCATGTCTACCCAAGCTTCTCCGCCCTCCACGATCACCGTTGTGTTCTCTGAGACAGGGGAGTCAAATGTAGCCAAGAGTGTTTCCTCATTTCCCGCTGGGATGTCATCCTTGTAGCCGAAGCCGATCCTCAAAGTCAAAGACCTATTTGAGAAATTCCCGAAATCCTCTGGAGTCAAGAGAATCTCGATCGTGCTAGCCGGACTGCTCCCGAAAACATTCCACAGGCATTGCTACAAGTTGAAAATCACCAGGAATGCTGTAGGAGTCGCTGATTATGATCACACATTTCTATGAGGAATTCCACAACATTAAGTGGCTGATAACAATATGCTGCTCTCAATAACAACGGGAAATGCAGTATTTCTTATTATTTTGTCGGGTTTATTGGAGAAATAAATATTTATATATGGTTCTCGGAATTGATATTGGTGCGGGTTGCGTTTACTAAGCCATCGATTTGGTTAAATTTTGGAAATCCCAATTATACACATATTACACTACAGATGGACTATTGCAGATCATCTTATCCTGCGATGGCGATACCATCAAAGGGGGAGCCTGTAAAGCATATAAATGAATATAGGATTTGGTTATCGTTTCGAGATTCAATGACATTATTTGATGACAATCAAAACCAACAACCATAGTAAGCGGCATGTTCAGTACTATTGCTTTCTTATTTCTTCATTCATTTTTTTCGAACGAGAGGTGTCCATGATGGGTACGAGGGTTGCACTAAAAGTTTGTGGCCTCCCCTGGTTACGTAATTTTGTGATAGGTTTTTGCATTTTGTGTCAATGCAACTAAAATTCTCTTCGTAGGTCAACTTTTAAGTGATTCCAGTCATTTATTGAAAAGAAACAGTGTGAGCTGGAATTTTTAAAATATATGTAAGTGGAACTGACTTTTGAGAGTATTTTCTTATCATTATCTATTTTTTCTTTCAATGGAAAGATCTGGATTTCAATGGAAATGGATCTGGAAGCATTCGCAAGGTTGTCTCCGTGGTGATCTGGGGAATCCTTTGCACCATATTCCACTGTCAAATTTGGTTTTTGTGAATTCCGTCTGGGGGACTCCAGTTTTCGATGAAACACTTGATGCAAGTCTAGGAGAAACATTGACCCCAGCGAATGATGACCATGCAAAGAAACGGGTGATAACTGGTGCTCGCCAATCCTACCGAAAGCGTCAAGACACTCAACGTTGGATCGGCCGCAGTAAATGTCAACACTGATGATCAGCTGGGGCTGTGGGACATCTTCTGCCATTGGGTACCCCAAAAAATGACAGAGGCCCAGAAAGTGGCTAGTTTTGGTTCGTGTCGTTTCATTCTTTAAAAGAATCAATCAGAACAGTCTAAAACTGTTTCTGAAATTGTGACAACTGAAAAAACCGGAATGCATAACTATGATCCAAAATAAAAACAATGATCTTCAGTTTTGGTGCTTCCAGAAGAGCATCTTCCACAGGATATTTCCCAAGATTGGCTTGTCACTTATAAAGAACTGCCTCTTGATTTTTGGGGACAGATAAAAGTCACATGCTTCACCTCAGTGAAATAAAGTTTCTGTAACAGACCTGGTGTGCCGGCACTAGTCCGTTGTCATCAATGCATGGTTCCAGGATTCCATCTGTCCATGTGATATTATGCATGCATTCTTCCTGGAGTGAATCACAAAATGGTGGAACCCGCGTCGCTCCCGAGCCTGTGCAAAGTCATATACCGCAATGGCTTCCAATTTTTAAACATTATTTGTAGTCCAATTCCAACCACACTTATCTAACAAGGAAAAATATGGAAAAAGGAAAGAAAACCATGAGAAAAGTACAGGATTGATCTACACAGAAATTCCCCGTTACACGGCCATCGTCGTCCATGGGACCCTCAAGTTCTCATAAAAGAATCAATGGGACTGCAGGGATATCACGTCTGCTTAATTAGAAATCATATGGCTATTTGGCCCTTCCTTCACTTTCAATCGTTTCACAGCAGTTGCCTTATTTGAGCATTTTTTGTCGATTAATTCGATACTGAGTCATTTGAATCGCCAAATCTAAGCAAAATGAAAGGAAAGTTAGTATTTATCCCTTGATATTATCAGGAGCTCCAAGATAATAAAAAATTGGTTCGTCGTTATCCCTTGGCTTAGTAACGAGATGCCTTTAGAATCTGTGTTCTTTATGATGTCATTAAGTCATTTGGGAATAGACTGGCTTTTTAAGCTGAGGAAGCAAATTCATCAAAACCTCGCATGACTTGTCTCTTCTGCCCACTGCTCTTGAATTATTTCTCCTGTTATAGGTTTTCCCTGAGAACTGTTCAAATCACCGCGGATTAAAGTAAACGTTTTTTTTAATATAATACTCGAAATTTAAGCCTCCCGGCCTAAAATGGAAGAGAAGCTGGATTGAGAATCATTCAACCAAACGTTGAACCTATGTACGAGAGGCGGAATCAGAAGTCCCACGAGACTCATTGACGCTGAAGAGCAGAGGGAGCAGGGAAAGGAAGAAGGCTCTGAAAGCCATGTTGTGCCCCACGGAAGCAGTCCTCTTCATTTGCCTTCCTACGAGCTGAATCATCTCACAAGCCACTCTGGGATGTGATTCGAGGATGTCCTTCTGGTCGCAGGGGGTCCTTCAGGTCGAGTGGCTTTATCTTGGGTTTCTCCTGAAGAGTCAACATGATAAGATGTTCGCCTCCCAATGAAACCCGGAGTCTTGTCACTTTTAGACGACGGAAGCTAGGACTGACATTTTGCGACCGTTTCAAATGAGAAAAGATGACGTAAAAAAATAAACAAATTCCATTGCTGTTGGATATTAGAACTTTACTGATAAAACTTATTTGTTAATTCATCTACGCATACTACGAAAATATCCAGGCAGCACGCCTCGCTGGGCGTGTGGTACTTTCTGCGTGTGGACTATCATGAAGTAGCAGCGTAATCACTGCGCATGTGACACTTCGGTGCTAGAGCGGCAGCAAACAGATTTTTAATATGTTGGCAGGCTATGCATGATGGAAAATCGAAAAATTAAGTTTCAGACAAGAGACACGAGACGGCACCTCTTTAGTCGCTATTTCGGCGGTGTCAGGAGGTGACTCACTTCCCAATCATTGTAATGAGATGCCAAATCTTTTCCCTCCGACAACTTGGAGGGAGATACACGAATTTCTCGATTTCGTCGTTCAATTGGGTCCAAGTATATTCCCAGAAATATTGACCTTTTTGGAGCCTCATAAAGTACCGATGTGCCGGAGAATGACTGATGAAGGGTCTCTATTATGCTATGCAGATTGAGAGTTGACGGCAGCAGGAAGTTCGATTAGAGGGCAATAAGTCAAATCGAATCAAGGGCTCATGAAATAACATGTTTCTGCATATGGCAACTATCAAACCTATCAAACTTATCATATGATACCCTCAAAATGGCTATTGATATCAGTTTTGTACGTTCTTGCATACCAGGCACTGCGTCTTCCTCTAAGCACCAATGTGTGAACCCGTGAGGGCTCCCTTGCGTTTCATTTCACCCCAAATTAGAAGAGTAGATGAGGTTGGGCCGAAAGCCAAGCCCCGAATAATGGCGGTTATCGCTCTAGGGCAATTCCCGTCAATGATATACACCTCCCCCGACACCTCCCTTTTCAGCATTGATTCAAGATAGTGACATCAAGAGACGATTTCGCCCATTTCGATATCAAGTGTGGAGGTTGAGCGTTCCTTAATATTAGGGTAGTCCTAACCCTCTTAAGGCTAAATATTTTTGTATTTTTTTGTTTTGTTTTGTTTGTTTTTTTTTCTTTTATTATTATTTGACTATCCTAGTTGCTTACTGTCTAGTACCTAACGTCAAGATTGCCCCCCAACTTTTTGCCCGGTGAAAGCGCACGGAATCTTGTATGCGGCGCTGATGAGAACCCAGTTGGAATATTGCATCAAGTTTTGGAGGCCTAAAAATAAGGGCGATTTGTTGGCGCTCCAGGGAGTACAGAGGAGGGCCACAAGAATGATTAAGGAGGTCATGTGACGAGAAGCGTTTAGAAATGTTGGGACTGTACTCGCTCGAACGAAGGTTAAGGAGGGGCGATCTCATCCAGGCTTTCACGATAATTAAAGGAATAGATAATGTCGGGTGTGGTTTGTTTTTCCAGTTTGATGAAGAGGCAACCGACTTAAATTGCGCAAACCGCAGGTGCGGCTCAGGCCGAGACAGGAATTCTTTACTTGCAGAGTGGTGAACGCG